TTCAGCTAACTAATTAAATGATAATAAGTTTTCATTTAATTGCAATTAACATGCAATGGAGAAGTGTTTGAAATTATACTAATTACTAATTATTTCTGTAATTAGTATTCTTTTTAAACCTGCAAAAGTGTACTTCTTGTTCACAAGGTTTGTATGCTATCTGTTGAAACAAAATGTGTGTAATGTCTTATCTTTTGGGAGTATCTGTTTTTGGTAATATCTGTTTTTGGGAGTATCTGTACGCTGAGGGGATCAACTCAGTGAATGGTACTACGATGCTACACTGGCCAAAAAAAATTGTTTGAGGGCTTCGGAAGCTTGGGGCAGTGCATGAATAAAGTATGTGGTTAATGTAAAAGATAATGTTTTTCTGTTATTTTGTCAATTACCTATTTTGATGTTTGTAGCTGTTGAGGTCTGTGTGCATCTTTTGCTTTTTAAAATGCTTTACTCTTCAAAGCCAATTATTTTAGGCTTTACTTCATTTTAACTGTGTAAAACTAAAATATTGACTACTGAAAACTTCTTCTGTTGCTAAATGATAATTAGCTAAGCAATGAATCAATAATTTAAAACTGGCTAGGCAAACGAGTATTAGTGGGGACTGATATTAAAGGGATAGTTCACCCAAAAATGAAAATTCTGTCATTAATTACTTACCCTCGTATCATTCTAAACCCGTAAGACCTTCGTTCATCTTCGGAACACAAATTAAGATATTTTTGATGAATTCTGAGAGCTGTCTGACCCTCCCATAGACAGCAATGTAATTACCACGATCAGGGTCCAGAAACGTAGCAAGGAGATCGGTAAAATAATCCATGTGACATCAGGGGTTCAACCGTAATTTTACGAAGCTACGAGAATAATTTTTGTGCGCAAAGAAAACAAAAATAACGACTTTATTCAACAATTCGTCTCCTCCACGTCACCCTGGTGCCATTTTGGAGAATATCCGCTGGATGTAAACAGCGTATGCTCTTCTGTTTCAGCTGCATCACATGTTTTCTACGTTGTTTACGCTTTGATTTGAACAAAGAAGAAGAATTGTTGAATAAAGTCGTTATTTTTGTTTTCTTTGCGTATCAAGTAACTAAGTGCATCATGTTGCCTTGATTCAAAAGACAAAGAAAATGCATTAATATTTACATTTCTAGTGTTTTATTGGGTAACACTTTCTATGAAGCCCATATTTATAATACATTATAAGGGTATTCTTAAGGCATTCTTCACCAAATCTATTGAAATTTAAATTCTGCTTATGTTCATTTAAAAATGCTGCCACACAGACTCATTGTGGCACATTACATTGCTTGTTGCATTTTTCGTAACATTTTCAAAGTAAAATGTGCAATGAGTGGCACTAAAAGTTCAGTTTTATCCGAAACAGATGAACTTTAATCTGGAAGTGCTTTATCACTTTGGTTGTTTTATGTTTCACGACAGTTCAGAAATGATATGTCTGGTGAGTGGTGCTGAACCGTTAATATGCTCTATCACATACACCCTAAACCCTACCATAAAGCTAACCAATATTGTTAACAAAAGAAAGCGTGAGAAGAGAAACAACACATTTGCTGAAGCAACCATGCCATTTTAGCTTGCTTCTACAAGTCACATGCCTTGTGTTTCATGAGACTCTTATCGCAAATGCAACGCTATACCAGGTGACCTACCAAACAATTTCACCAAGCCAGAAAACCACACATATGAGGCTGGTTAAGTGATGAAATGCCAAAACGTATCATATGTAAGAAACCATGTGAAAATCAGTCTTTAAGAATGGATAATCTGCGTTTGGTCCAATTCTCGCTAATAACATATCATTAACTACGACTTGTGCCTCAATAAACTCATAATTTGCTGCTTCTTAATAGTTAGTAAGGTAGTTGTTAAGTTTAGGTATTGGGTAGGATTAGGGATGCAGAATATGGTCATGCAGAATATGTGCTTTATACGTATTAATAAACAGCCAATATGTTAATAATAGGCATGCTAAAAAGCAGCTAATTAATAGTGAGAATTGATCCATATACTAAAGTGTTATCGATACTAAGTGTTATTTTTTAATTTCACTACACTCTAAAAAATGCTGGGTTAAATACAACCCAGTGCTGGGTGAAATATGGACAAACCCAGCAATTGGGTTGTTTTGACCCAGCGGTTGGGTTAAATGTTTAACCCAACCTTCTGCGTAGTAACCCAACCACTGGGTCAAAATTGCTGGGTTTGTCCATATTTCACCCAGCACTGGGTTGTATTTAACCCAGCATTTTTTAGAGTGTATGTTTGTGGTGTGTTGCGAATGAGTAATGACAACATTTACTCCTTTTAAATGGATTGACATTAAGCTGGTCATTTGAAGCTAGATGCAGCTAGTCTACGCTGAATTTTTTTCTTCAGAAGATCATTTTAAATACTGTACTTACTGTATAGAACAAGGTTGAGTTAGTTCTCACACTGTCTGGGTGCAGTGAAAAAAACACCATAGCAGATTGGCTCCTCAATCCAGTCAGTCAAACTGTCCACCCGCCACTGAACGCTGAGGTCATTCTGAGTGTGCGATGCGGCAATGACCGATTCCCATCCCAGCACGCGCACTGGACGAGAGGCCACACAGCTGACCGACACCGGATCCCCAAATTTCACCACTACTCTGGAGGGAGATATCTCTAGCGAGCAACTGTCAGCTGACACTGAAGGAGGTGTGAATCAGAATCAACAATATCACAAAATGCTGGGTTGTTTCAACCCAACTTTGGGTCAAATATGGACTAACCCAGCAGTTGGGTTAAATTTTTACATTCAAATTTTCACCCAAAAGTTGGGTTAGTCCATATTTGACCCAAAGTTGGGTTGAAACAACCCAGCATTTTTTAGAGTGTAATATGCCATATATAGAAAATGTAAATGCTATTTGAAAACAATTATTACGCAGTAAGCCAAAGTTTATTTCTTCTAAGAAATACTTTTATGTAAAAAAGTTTTGAATGAACTTTACAAACTTCCAGAAACATTACAGTTAAGTTCAATAGGTTTTCATTGGAGGTGGGTAAGTGTAAACAGATATGCACCTCATAACAGTTTACTCTCAACTTAACCTGAAATATTACTAAACAACTAGCGTTATTTTCACAGAGAAACATCTTACCTATTCCGATAATGGACAGACCGAGAAAGCAAAGGAGATTGTTTTTCATTTTGATGAAAATGGTTGAAATCTGCTATAGTCCGCACACAGAGGAGAAAGAAATTCCGACTCGGTCTTGCTTGGCAACTAAAAACTGTGAACAGTGACAGCCAACAAAAGCCTTGTACTGAAGTGCCTGGAGGGGGATTGAAGTAGTGGGCCTCATTACAATCAGCTCTCCCTCTTCTCGCACCTCAGTATTTCCCATCCTCTGTTATGTATCTTGTGAAACTGTCTTTTTTAATCACATTTGAGTCTAGCGTACTGAAGCATTACCACATTAGAATGTCTCTTTGATTTTATAATCGTATTTGTCTTTCAACTTGTAGTTGCTAATTGCAATAAATAGTTAAATTGCTCATGCTTATTTAATTTTCATTATTTCACTGTTTACGCATGCCGTCTCGTTAATTTTTAAATGAGCTTATATGAGTTAAGAGCTACTGAGCTTCAGCTATAGCTGTCTTGAAATGCTTCACTGCAGTGAGGTTGCTATGCCAACACTCACTCACAGAGGTTTTGGCAGACTGAAGTCGCACAGGTCACTGTGTTAAACACACAAAAGGTGCCTGGAGGGGGATTGAAGTAGTGGGCCTCATTACAATCAGCTCTCCCTCTTCTCGCACCTCAGTATTTCCCATCCTCTGTTATGTATCTTGTGAAACTGTCTTTTTTATATCACATTTGAGTCTAGCGTACTGAAGCATTACCACATTAGAATGTCTCTTTGATTTTATAATCGTATTTGTTTTTCAACTTGTAGTTGCTAATTGCAATAAATAGTTAAATTGCTCATGCTTATTTAATTTTCATTATTTCACTGTTTACGCATGCCGTCTCGTTAATTTTTAAATGAGCTTATATGAGTTAAGAGCTACTGAGCTTCAGCTATAGCTGTCTTGAAATGCTTCACTGCAGTGAGGTTGCTATGCCAACACTCACTCACAGAGGTTTTGGCAGACTGAAGTCGCACAGGTCACTGTGTTAAACACACAAAAGAGACACAAAGAAGACTTCATTAAAAAAAACCCATAAGGATTAGAATCGATGTGTTTCCCTACTTCCTTGGGTGTGATACACACCACAGTGACTTAGAAAGATTCATGGGTCCCACTTTATATTATGTGGCCTTTACTATGTACTTACACTTAAATTAATCATTTGGTACAATGCACTACATGTTTTTACGTTGCACTTATATTTAAAAAAATACCTGCATGTAATTAAATCTGTAATTCATTTCTGTAATTACATTTATAATTACACTGTTGACCCATCCCTTACACCTTAACCCACCCTTAAACCTACCTATACCACCAAACCTGTCCCTAACCTTACCCCTATCCCACCTCAATAGCAGCAAAAGTGTTTTGCAATACAATATGAACATAATAACTATAGTGTACTTGTTTTATGTAAGTACATAGTAGTTAAGGCCACCTAATATAAAGTGGGACAGATTCTTGGCATTCATGTAGCTATCCAGATGCTAGAAATTTGTTCAGGTTTTTAATATTGACACATTATAAAGTAAACTAGGTTTGTTTTAGGCTCAGGTGTTCAGGGTGGTTGTTTACTGGCCCAAGTCAAAAGAGCCCACCCACAAGTATTGTGATATATGGAAAATTCACACTCGGGTTGAAGGCTTTGTTGTGATGAACACCTTCTTCTAAACATATAGCACTTGGAGTCATTTTGAAGCTCCACCCTGTCACAGTTTCCACTGATACTCATCAAGCACATTTCCCCTAACAAACTGAAACTGAGCAAAATGAGAAAATAAAATGAGAAGGAAATCAAAGCCAAAGAAGTCAACATTTATTTTGCTGCTGTTCAACCACTCAAAATAAATTTTCTTGTGTTTTGCAAAACATCCTGAAGGGCATCCGCTAGCCAAAAGGATGTACATGGGGGGGGGAGCTTTTGGAGGTGGGGGCCGAGGGAAATGAGATGTCCCTCTTGGTAGTTGACGCCCTGTGCAGTCTGAGTGCTCATCTTGTGCTCAGCTCACATTCACACTGATTACAGAAGAATTTTAAAAGCTGCTCTGTGCAATGAATACACAGTGCAATGAATATACATATATGCTAAATTCTTTCTAAATGCCGTGTTACAGGGTGGCAGACCATATACTATATTACTAATGCAATATTGTAATGTTTTCAAACTTGCAACTTTATATACCCTCATATTAATTAAGAGACAAAATGGAATGTTTGTTCTGTAAAATGAATTTGTCATACAGCAGTGAGGAAAAGCTTAGGAGAACAGTAAAAAAAGAAGTAAAAAATCCAAATGAACATTCGTGAAAATACACTTTCCAGTTATTGTCATATGTTAATTTCATGCTAACATCTAAAGGCAGGAATTTATTTATAAATAAAAGTGATGTGTTGTAGTGGTTCCCACTGACTTCATATGCATGGCTGATGAACCACTACAAGTCAACACATTTTTATGAATTCCCAGCAGAGTAGAAAGAAAGAAAATACAATACTGTGACTAATTAACTCTGTTGTGTGACTATTAATTAAATGATAATAATCAATGCAACCGACAACTGGAAAAAAGTAAGAACAGTCCAGAATGTGGGACGAATACCTGTGGAAGAAAAGCTGTGTTAATGACGTAATTTAAACACTCAAGTGTTTTCAATGCTGAATCCCTGTCTACAGATGCACTCTTTCAAAATACAGGTTCCAAAAGGGGGGTTTCCCGATGGTGCCATAGAAGAACTATTCTTGGTTCCCCGAAAGTTCTTAAAACTGAAACTGAACTGTTTTTGTAAAGAATATTTTAATAATCTAAAGAAACATTTTCCAGAAAGAACCTTTAGTGGAATGGAAAGATTCCATGGATGTTAAAGGTTCTTTGTGAATCCATAGATGCCCATAAAGAACCTTTATTTTTAAGAGTGTACAAAAGAGTGACTCTGGTTTTACACCCAGAAATCAAACACGATGTATAAAATAAGAAACACCCAAACCAACATTTAGAAAAAAACAAAAACATAAATATGCACAAAGTATTCAAGTCATCAGATAATATCTCATATGTGCCCTCATTATTAATGAGAGCAAAATAATACACACATTCAACAACAAAAAAAAAAAAAAGAATACAAAATGCAAATTTGAAATGTTTAAATTAACATTCATGAAATCTTATTCAAATATAAACAAAATAATAATTAATGCAATTTCGCGTTTTACAAAAATCAGATGATATGATATTTTCATTCATAACCCACCTGTAGATTTGACGATGAACACTTTGCTGTCTCTTCCCAGAGCGTTTGTGGCGGTGCACGTGTAGTTTCCTGGACTGAGTGCTGAGGACTTGAGCTCTGAGGAGCTGATCTTCTCTTCCAGATGATCTGAGCGCCATGTGTACGTAGGAGCCGGGTTTGCCTTCACTGTACAATCTAGCATGACCTTATCGTCTTTAATGATGGTCTCTGTTGAACTGGAGTGTTGTGGTTTATCTGAGGAGGACAGAGATACATTTCTCAGCACAACAGCAGCATGATGAGCAGCTGTTAGTAACAGATCACTAAAAATACTGCACAACTGAAATCTTTTAATCTGTGTTCATTCAATTCATAATGTCATTTTTAAGTTAATATGCAAATCTCTGTGTGTGTGATGAAATATGACAGTTGCACATCCGTCACACTAGAAGGCCCTACAGAAAATATAAACTGAATTATATGGATAGCTTAGCAATAATAAACTTACAGTATACTTCGACATTAAGAGGTTTTGATGAAATTGTAGGATGAGGTTGAGGTCCTTCTGCTCCCAGATCCAGCTCTGCTTCACACCTGTATTGAGCTCCATCATCAGCTCTGTCTGGACGGATCAGGAGTGTGTAATACACACATTCAACAACAAAAAAAAAAAAAAGAATACAAAATGCAAATTTGAAATGTTTAAATTAACATTCATGAAATCTTATTCAAATATAAACAAAATAATAATTAATGCAATTTCGCGTTTTACAAAAATCAGATGATATGATATTTTCATTCATAACCCACCTGTAGATTTGACGATGAACACTTTGCTGTCTCTTCCCAGAGCGTTTGTGGCGGTGCACGTGTAGTTTCCTGGACTGAGTGCTGAGGACTTGAGCTCTGAGGAGCTGATCTTCTCTTCCAGATGATCTGAGCGCCATGTGTACGTAGGAGCCGGGTTTGCCTTCACTGTACAATCTAGCATGACCTTATCGTCTTTAATCTCCATGTGATCAGACTCTGGTTTTTGGTCATGGGCACTCCTCCCTGACTGGCTTCCCATCCCATCCCTTTATGCAGGACTGAAGTGTTACAGTTAGCTGCAACAGAACCGCCGTATCTCACAACAACTCTCTGTGGGTTGAGCTGAACAGGACATTCAGCTTGTGCACCTGTTAAACAAGTTGAGAAGGATGCGATTTAAAACTGGTGAAGTTACAGCACAGAATAGCAGCACTGAAGTATCAGATTACAAGCAGACACAAAAATAACCTACAGTACCTTGAGTCCTTAAGACGTACAAACTGACCACTGCGTGCATCTAGAGCTTTGTATTTTATAGAGCTGGGCAGATAACATTTTGTTTTTGGTTACTGTAGAAGTCCATCTATTGTCATAATCATGATATGTAACAAAAAACTTTACTGATAAATGCAGTAGCAAGACAACATTTGGCAGTGTTGGTCCAACCTCAAACATGTCAACTGAATAGAAATTAATTAAACACTCCAAACATTGGTCCTAAGAAGAAAAAAAAACTAAGTTATATGAGCAATATCACTCTCGTACTCGAGCGACACCTGCTCTATATCAGCATGGCTGTGATTAGGCCAGAGGCAATCACAGCCGCTGATATAGAGCCGGTATCGCTCGAGTACGAGAGTGATATATATTTTATACAACAGTTCGACGGAACATGTGTGTAATTAAACAAGAAACAACGGAGTGCCTAATAAAACCCTCTTTTGTGCGGAACTACTTCCTTCCGCCACGGATTCAAAGCTCAAGTTGACAGTTAAACATACGTCACTTTTAGAATTCGTATCAAGGGCATGTGCTGCTTCAGTTAGGTTATTAGTGAGAAATAATGAGGTTATAAGAGAGAAACAATGCGGCAAGACGTGCATCCAAATGAGAGAGAGACCGCGAAGCTAGACTTTTCTTTTTATATTAACGTACTCTACGAATAGCTCAGTCAATATAGTGATAAAAACATAGACCCGGCTAGAACAAGCGGAGTGATACAAAATTGTGAAAGGGCGTTCCTGTAGCGATACCACTACAATAGCTCACGGTTCTCAACCAATCAGATTTGAGAACCAGAACGAACTGTTGTATATAATCATTTAATCTCAAAGAAAGTAAAAACTAAAAACATATCTAGGCTCATTCCATAAAAAGAAAGTTTGCGCTTCAGCATACAAACCTGTGAGACTCACAAGCTGTGAAACTGCCGAGAGATAAACAAATCCAAAGAAAAGTTGAAGCATATTCAGAGTGCTCAAGGAAAAGCAATTGAACAGAAAATGTTGGAAATAAGGCCCAACTCTCTGACAGAAACTCTGACTGTTCAGTCTGTGACTGAATAGCTGTGCTTTGAGCACACAATAATGAAGCAAAAAAAAAAAAAAGGACCAACCCCGTCTCCGCCCAGAAAATATTTTGAGAGGTCATTTCAGTGGACTGACTCCAAGAACTGTTCACATTAATAGATGGCCGCAAAACAGAAGCAGAAATGAAACTAAATTAACTCTAGTAATAACCTGAATCCTTGAAATGAGCTGAGTTGTGGTTACCCTATCCAGATAACCAGAACATCTGTAGACGTGTCTTGGGGTTGATTGACACAGGGTTCTTTTTTTGGGTCATAATTTGATGCTTTCACAGAAATGTAACATGCAAAACAACAAAAACCAATCTGAAGTTTCTTTAAAACATTTTCCAAGGCGGACAAATGGCCCAGTTTTTTTTTTTTTTTGCATACAGTGCCCTCTTGTGGTAATTGCAGGATACAACAACAAAAACCAGAAACATCTGCCTGACTTCAATGGTGAGCGTTCATCCACAGCATCAGGCTGAGAGATCATGCGGACTGTGGCCTGGGATCCTGTGAAATAGACTGCATGTGCTGAATATGCAGTATGTCTGGAACCTCACATGCCATTCTGACCAGTGTTTGGTGGCAGACATGAAAGAAGTGACACCATGTGTTTGCAAAGTTCACATCGATCCATTTTCCAATCCAATTTCCAATTCAGACACCATAGAGGGGAAGAAGAATACTTTTATAACAGTTTTTTGGTGCAAATCTGAGGTTTCTGAGATTATCAATAGCCTACTTTGCACAGCAGCACAAACTTTTTTTTCTTTCTTTTTATTTAGGGGTTTGTTGATACACCACTTGTAAGTTCTGCTTCTGATTTATTTTTTAATTTCATCATTGCTATTGAGTGGCCAACTGTCATTACAATGGTGTCATTTGTGAATTTAATGATGGCACTTTTGCTCTGTGTTGCACTCTGTACAGTAGGTAAACATTGAAAACAGCTTGGGGCTGGAAAATGGTCATTAATATCAAATATTAGGCTATATGATTAAAACAATCATTCACCAAATGAATAATTCGTCATTTAAATGGTTAAATGATGAATAATTCACAACACTTGATATTCAACAACCATGTTTGTGTATAAATCTTAAAGGGGTCATATGATGCGATTTCAAGTTTTCCTTTCTCTTTGGAG